CAGGCCGAAATCGGCCGTTTTCATTAGTCGGACGACGAAGCGTGCCCTGTCGCCCAAACTCAATTTGGTGTGTCCCGCACCATCGGCCATGACACGCCTTATTTGGCCTTTCATGGCCGACGCCCGGCCGATTCAACATGCGTCGGCCACAGGCAGTCGGACAAAGAAATCACTCTGATTGGCTGTTCAGCTAGCGAATCAGTGCATGAGAATGTTAGAAATTAAAATCAATGTTTTGATGGCATAATGTACCTTAAATGTACCTTCAGTTTAAATGCTGTTTTATACTGAAAAACCAGAAAATTATTGTGCACAACCAGTTAAGCTTTTATTCTGAAAATCCTTCATCTCCGGTTAGCATGTGGCTAGTTTACCATTTCTTATAGAGGTTAATTTAGTAGCGAAATGACATGGAGTGATGCACACCGAAACCTACTGATTTTAACACTGCAACTATAGACGTATTATTATTGCTGAATATTAAATGAAGGTATAGTTTATTTGAATAAAGTTATTGTTTACAGACCTGGGTAAGATGTGACAACTTCCGGAATGACCAGAAACCAAACCAGCCGTGAAGTATTTTCTGTATTTTTTAGAATATTAACTACAACGTTTAGAATGTGTTAAAGGAAAAGTGATGAAAGACAATATGAGGAGAAGAGGCGTGTTTAAGTATGTATTGAATGTACAATGCCTGAATCCTCTGTTTAAACGTAACAACGGACATTAAGATGTGGAGGGCCGGCCCGCAGGGAGGAGCCTGCAGAAGCTATATAAGAGCAGCACCTGAGCGGTTCGGCCCCTTTTCTCTGCTAGCGAGGGCCAGAGACAGCTGCTTTTCTGTCGGACAATATCCTGTTTGTGACTGTACCGCGCCTTTTATTAATTAAAGTACCAATTTGAAAACATCTCAGAGACTCCATTTAGTCTCCTTTTTAAGCTTCTCTTTCCTGGACGCGAGAATAACCATCACAGTTAACAAGAAGCAAAAGGTTGCTTGAGAATGTCTTCCACAAGCAACACTCCAATGGCTGATAGCTCCAGTACCGCACAAAACATGTTTTCGTTGGACAAGAGTGAAAATGGAACGCACACGCTATTTGTTGTTTGTTTAGATCACGTAGTCTGTTCTTCTTCTCTGTCTTCCGGTTGTTGCCTCTTTTGAATGACGAACACACACTACCGCCGCCTGCTGGTAAGAAGAGTTATTGCCACTCACGCATGCGCAGTTCGTACGTGCTCGGCTGAAGTCTTTGCGGTGTGTTCCAGTGCGACACATGGCCAAGACGCAGGAGAACACGTAATGATAAACCTGTGAGTTGGATGTAGAAAAGTCAGAATCAATATAGATGTTTTTTATTTGAAAGAAAATTCAGATTGAACATGGTAAAAAACTGTAAATTATAGTGTCCGTCCAAAAAATACTTTGTACTTATAGTGAAAATCAGTGCTTGAATTGGGCCGGTACTCACCGGTACGTAGTACCGGCACTTCTTACTGCAAAAAGGAATGCTCTCTCTGTCAGCCGACTGTCCAGTCTGGTTTTTATCAAATGCAATGGACCACCGCTAGGACAGTTCAATCCAGAAAAGTATGTGAGTTCGTGGCTGGCAAAGGGAAGGAGAAGTGCTGATGAAAGAGCCTGTCCAGCTCCGGCCCCTGATACTGCTGTCCCCAAGGCCTTCTGGAGCCTTTTTTTTTAACAATGTGAGTATAAAACAATACATAATAATATTGAAAAAGTAAATATAATGAACACATACAGTATATAATCTCTCTCTCTCTCTCTCTCTCTCTCTCTCTCTCTCTCTCTCTCTCTCTCTCTCTCTCTCTCTCTCTCTCTCTCTATCTCTCTGGGTTTAAACCCCTCCACAACACTGAATCTGCTCTTTTAAACGTTTTTAATGACCTGTTTTTAGCTACTGACTGAACAGTGCTGTTCTTTTAGACCTTACAGCTGCCGTTGACACTGTAGATCACAGCATTCTCATTTCTCGCCTGCAGCATTCTGTGGGAATCAGTGGTACTGCTCTAGACTGGTTTAAGCCATATCTGTCTGAAATGTGGAAGCTCTGCTGCACGGCGATTTGCTGCCAGACGCTGATCAACGGGTCGGCTAAAGGCAGTATTGCAACACTCTCACGTTCCTGTTTATTTCACCGCTCGCTAGTTCCTATCAGGGCCAGTGCGAGGCTCCGGCGAACAATTCATGAGCGTGCTCACTAGCGCACCTCCCCCCCCCGTTCATAAAGTCAAGTACCCCTCAAAAGGTCTGTTTATTTCATTTTAAGGATGCGAACCAAGCACCATCTCCAGGTGCTCCTTTGAGAACCAGGGCAAAAAAGTGATGTACACCCCTGGTCATGTGATCTTTGCTGTTATGTTCACCATTGGTAGTCCCTCCGGCCAGCAGGGGCTAGGGTAGAGCAGTAACAGCCTGGATGACAGGGTGGTCTATAGGCACTGCATTACTTGAGAAGTTTCTTGTGAGAAGTTTGGCTGACATGGTCCCTTATGTGTTACTGTTCATGAACTTAACTTATTGTGTTACCTGAAATCTGCCTGCTCCCCGTGTGTGTGGGTTAATTGGGGGATTAAAAGAACTAGGTGCCAGCCAGTGGGCCATTACATGGAGGGCTCACTGGCAACACATGCACCCTTTAGGCCTGATGGTAAAACAGCTTCAACTGTTATGCTGCAAATAACTCTTCAACTGACTTCAGTTTCCTCAAAGTTTTTCATTGTTGTTTTTATAAATGTCTTACAGGAAGCCTTTTTCTCGTGTTTACATCCTTATTGATGAGTCAACAATAAAGCAGTTTGGTGTTTATGGTCATTAGTATGTGTTGATTGGTTCATGTTTGTAGCATTTTTAATGGCAGTTTTTTGAAAATGGCAAACAAGTGAATCAGATTTCTGTGTCTTACTTATACCTCATTCACACCAACGCAACTCCGGTTCAAGCTCCGTGCTAGAGTTTTCAGGTTCAGAACCGGTTCTTCAGTTTAGCTCCGGCTCTTTTCACACTGCCCAGAGTCCGACTGGTGCTGCGTCATTGCGTCATCGTTTGCGTCATGACGTAACTGTTTGCGTGCCTGCTTCATAAAGCCAAACCGCGCGGAAACCCCTCACAGCTCACACCGACAACAACAAATATGGCCGATTGTGCTCCAGCTTCCTCTGTACCTCTTCGGAAGACCAGATTCCCAGCAGGTAGCTGGTCTCTTCAGTGGACCACTGCTGCTTGTTAAGTTTCTCCATCGTTGTGTACAAACTGGATAAAACGCAGGCTTTTTGTTGTTGTTCAGGAGTTGATCTGTCTCTCTGCCCCCGCCTCGACGTAAGCGTGACGTATGCGGTGCTTTTGCTCTGGCCGGACAATTTTTTGCTGCTCGAAATGAACCGGATTCCGGAGCTAAGAGGCTGCTCCGCTGCGGTGTGAACAGGAAAACCCGGTGCTTTTCAAGCTCCAGCTCCAAACCGGCCCTGAAACACCGAGAACTGTGTGCAGTGTTTTGCAAAAAGTGCCAAGTGGAATTGCATATTGGGTTCAGAGCTGAAAATGTGTTTAGAGTTTTGGAGATTTGAGTTGAGGTTTTGCTTTTTGACTGTGAGTTTAAATAATTATGCTTTATGTAAAATGTGTGTGTGTTAGCTACTGAAAAAAACGGTAACAACAACAATGGATATATGGACAGCAGCAAGAGGGAGAGGTAGAGGGAGGATGAGAGAGAGGGAGGATAAGAGAGAGACGGATGAGAGAGAGACGGATGAGAGAGAGGGAGGATGAGAGAGAGACGGATGAGAGAGAGACGGATGAGAGAGAGGGAGGAAAAGAGAGAGAGGGAGGAAAAGAGAGAGAGGGAGGAAAAGAGAGAGAGGGAGGAAAAGAGAGAGAGGGAGGAAAAGAGAGAGAGGGAGGATAAGAGAGAGAGGGAGGATAAGAGAGAGAGACGGATGGGAGAGGGAGGATAAGAGAGAGGGAGGATGAGAGAGAGACGGATGAGGGAGAGAGTGAGGATGAGAGAGAGACGGATGAAGGAGAGAGGGAGGATGAGAGAGAGAGACGGATGGGAGAGGGAGGATAAGAGAGAGGGAGGATGAGAGAGAGAGGGAGGATGAGGGAGAGAGGGAGGATGAGAGAGAGACGGATGAAGGAGAGAGGGAGGATGAGAGAGAGAGACGGATGGGAGAGGGAGGATAAGAGAGAGGGAGGATGAGAGAGAGACGGATGAGGGAGAGAGGGAGGATGAGAGAGAGACAGATGAAGGAGAGAGGGAGGATGAAATGAAGTCAGTTGAAGAGTTATCTGCAGCATAATGGTTGGAGCTGTATGACTGTCAGGCCTACAGGTGATGCTTCTTCTGCAGGTGGATAAGGGGCTGTGGTCAGACCCAGGTGGTAAAATACAGAGTATTTTCCTTTCCTCTGCTTTTTTGTAAAAACATTTTGTTGTATTTATTTTTCCTCAAAGTTTTCAATTTACTGTATTTGACAAAGGCATCCTTGTTGTTGACATACCTGCAACTATGAGTTCTGCATGAATGTTGCACCAATTTGTTTTGGAGAAAAACAAAAGTGTAACAGCAGTATATTTGTGTTTCTACACATATTTTTGGTAGACTTCAACAATCTTTACACGCCATAAAAGATGAGTGTGCTTTAGATTGAGCCCCACAGTGTGTAATTGGTTGGATAAAGAGTCTGGTACTTTGAATGAAGTGTGCCATTAGCACAGTTTGGTTTTGGTAAGTGAGTGTAGTTTTGAGTGCAGTGCTCCCTTCTGCAGGGTAAATGAGGTGTTTTGCACTTTGTGTGTGGTTTTGTGAATTGTGTTTTGAGAAAATAAGCCCTGCTTTAAAAAAACGTGTTTTAGCACAACTTTAATGTAAGTGGAGTTTTTAAGCTTGCTGTGTGATGTATGCTAATATGATGTGTCAACACCACCCTTCCTGTTCTCTCGAACAGACTCTCTGGTTGCTTCACACTTCCTGTCATGTGGGTGGGTTAGCTGCTGTATTTAAACAGTACATCTTTTAGAAGAAGCCTCATACAGCTTCGAGTGTCACTGAGACACAGTTCCCTCCATCACGGAGTGCGAGGGTGGAGGCTGATTTATCAACCACACACTTCAAATTCTGCTTTAACGGCTGTTACTGGTAAGTTTGCTTTTATAACAACATTGTTTTTTGACTCTCATTACCCTTTTTTCACATTCTTATATGACAACCTGATGATATTGTGTTTCAAGCCAAATCTGATGTTAATTATATTTTACTTCATCAAACATCGAGTCAAATCTATTTTGTAACATTATCACACTAAAATATGAAGAAGTAAATCGATGCAACAACACCGCTGTTTTGTACATTTATATTATCAACATAAACAAACTTCCTGTTTTTTGAAGAGGAAGTTGACTAACTTAAGAACTGACAGAAATGGGGCGGTGGTGGTGAAGTCGATAGGGACTTGGCTTGGCAACTGGAAGGTCACCAGTTCAAGTCCCGGAAAGACCAAGTGCTACCGAGGTTTCCCTGAGCAAGGCACCGTTCCCTACACTGCTCCCCGGGCGCCGTTCAAAATGGCAGCACACTGCTCCTAACACTAGGATGGGTCAAATGCAGAGAAACAATTTCCCTACGAGGATTAATAAAAGTCCATCTTATCTTAAATAACTGATCAAGTATTGGTAGTATTGTAGTTCTTTATTTGATTTCTGAATCCAAAACTTCTTAATTATAATATAAAGTTGAGTGATAAGTTATAAGCAACGTCTTTTATTACTAATTTCTCCAACATCATAGGTTATCTGTACAAATGATTTACTGATACATACAAGTCAAGTTCTGCTTTATCCTGAGACCATTTTCAGCCTCGGTGAAAGAGGAAGTGAACTGATGACACTTTAATGTTCTCTATTACCTTTTATGGTGTCAACAGTGTTGAGAAAGAGACAAGCCTTTTTGAAAACGACACCATGTCAGTGTACAACTTTAAAACCAGGGCTCTAAATAAGGGTGCTTATTTTAAAAAGACTGTATGTGGTAATACAATGAGGAAGTACTTTTTGTGAGATATCGCACAACCTTTATGAGGATACATTATTCACATTTCAACAAGATGACAGTAATTTCTGTATGTAGTCCAATGATTGCATGTTGATCGAGGACCGTAAGATATTTTAACATCAACTGTTCTTTGGTTGAAGTAGTGAGTAACTTAATAATTGGTTAACAAACATAAAAGAACAAGTTGTGTTGTTAAATTGTCAATATGCAAACAATGCTAAAAGGTTTCAAATCATAACAAACTGTTGCAGCAAATTCCCTAGTTTGATTACATTACATTATTACATTACATTACATTTAGCTGACGCTTTTATCCAAAGCGACTTACAATAAGTACATTCGACCAGGAAGACACAACCTTGAAGAAAACAGAATCATAAAGTACATCAGGTTTCATAGAGCCAAACATTTCAAGTGCTACTCAACTGGCTTTAGATAAGCCAGTCCTTTATTAGTATAAAGTGCTTTCGTTAATAGTTCTAACGCTCGAAGTGGAGTCGAAAGAGATGAGTTTTCAGTTTGCGCCGGAAGGTGTGTAAGCTATCTGCTTTCCTGATGTCAATGGGGAGCTCATTCCACCATCTTGGAGCCAGGATAGCAAACCCACGTGTTTTTGCCTGATGGGAACTTGGGTCCCCCTCGCAGCGAGGGCGCAGCGAGTCGTTTGGTTGATGCAGAGCGTAGTGCACGCGCTGGGGTGTACGGTTTAACCATGTCCTGGATGTAGGAAGGGCCAGATCCATTCGCAGCATGGTAAGCAAGTACCAGTGTCTTGAAGTGGATTCTAGCAGTTACCGGAAGCCAGTGGAGGGAGCGGAGGAGCGGAGTGGTGTGGGAAAATTTAGGAAGGTTGAAGACCAGATTAATCTAGTTTGTGTTTTTGCATGAATAATTATGGAAAGCCCCACTGTACATTACCTTGTAATGGTATACGTTCCGGCAGGGAACATTTTATTGTTCCCTTTTACATTTAATGTGTCAACAAAGATGACTGATTTCTGCAGTCTGTTGTTGGGAAATTGGCAGGTTAGACAATTAATACTCGAAGGCCTTCCTCGTTCTATAGCAAAGCTGGCATAGCAAGGGCGTACCTTTAAAACTCGTGATTTTGGTGATTTTTCATCTTTAGTGATGTCAATCCATCAGAAAATATAATTGGATTAATCACTAAAATAAAATGTTGTTAATTATGATCAATTACAAGTATAAAAATACTAGTAGTTACTATTTACGACGCTGGAGCATGGACAAACCCGCTGTCACAGAGAGCCGCTGTTTTTATAATGTGTGATACACCGGACATACTGTATGCTTGAATGGTAGTATTTCTACTGCGAGCACTATCTGTACCGGCAAACACATTTTCATGTTTGATCAAATGCCTAAAATGACCTAGCCTATGCTTATATTATTCTGATAACTCATTGTTTTGTAATTATACAACTGAGGACTGTCCTCTCATGTGCAAAGGATTAATGTGAAGTTATATGGTGAGTCTTTTTAAACATGAACGATATCAGTTTCTAACCTTACCAGTTTTTTAACTATGAGCACCATCTGGTGTTTTGTAACCCTGATCCTTAATTATGTTATTTTAACGTTTTCTTATTGCAACTGCCATATGTGATAAGTTGGGAGTGGGAAGGCAGTACCACTCAAACTGATTGTTCCTACTTGCAACTATAGATGTCCAAGGTAGGTTAGTGCAATTTATAGAAATAACATGATAAACAATCAAAAACATCAAATAAATCTAACCTCCTTTCTAGGTAAACATGCGGTATTCATTTCATTTAGAGATGAACAGATGCATCGGCACCATCATGGGCTCTTTAGTCTGTTTGTTTCTGTGTGTCTGGCATGTGTCACACGTACCAATCAGTCTCTCGATGTCTTTATTTATTCCAGGCCAGAAAACACTGTCTTGATTTTTTGATTATCCGACAGCAACCCTATCGTCTATTCCTTGACCTCTGAGTGAAACGTCACGGGGTTAAGGGATAGTGGATAGGAGAATTCAAAAGGACTTAGGAGAAGAGACTGCGGTGCTTTGAGAATCCGAATGCACTTTCACTATCCGACGTGTTTATGATGCGCCAGCGGACGTCATGAATGTGCGTCTGCTGCTGTGGGGAAACTATGGAAACTACAGTTTTCTATACAGCGGACTACAACATGGATGTTTAATAAGAACGAGGGACTCATCTAGAGACTCTGCACCGTATATATATATATATATATATATATATATATGTGAAACACAGAAAGAAGATTGAGTTAAGAGTGGGATACGCTACAAACATTTCACACTATTGAAATCAAACTCAATGGCAGAACAGCAGCCTTTCCTGAAAACCTTTTACTTTACTTCTCTGCATGCGTGAGGGAAATGTCACAGTTTATTATTTGTTCCAATGATTTACCTTTGTTTGTGCATTTGGTTGACACAAACCTATAAACACAATATCTTTAGTGTTAGTTATATTTTGTGGGAAAAGTATAATAAAGTGAAACTGTAAGATTGTATTTTCATCAGTTCGAGGAATTGTACTCCTTTAATCAATGCGAAAACCAATTGTGGAACACATTAATTATCCATTAATGAGATCCAATCTGTGGCTAGTACAAGTAATGAGGCCAATGTAATGTTAATAGAATAATGAATATCATTTAAGGTTTACATTGAAAATGTGTATTGGTTTACAGGAAATGGAGAATTATTTGCTGTTTCTTCTGCTCATGCTGATGGGTAAACATGGTAAGTTTTGAAAACGTTAACATTATTATTAATTTAATTGAAAATATTTCAAACTAAAACATATTTGTTATATTAATGAGTGAAATGATTGCAATGCCAAATTAGACATGTGTGAGAGCAAGCCCTGCAGTTCATCAGAGCATTGTATCCACTGTCATTGCATAGTAAGAGAGGCTATACATGTAATTGTCCAAAAACAAAAACACATAATAATGATAATAATGTTTAGAATTAAGAATTCATGGTTCAATATCTTGAACAGAGTTTGTGCTTTTCTCTGCAGGATTGTGTCAACAGGAGAAAGGTTGCTCAAAGTCGATGGTCAACTCATGTGGTGACTGTATGAGATCTGCGCCAGAGTGTGTGTGGTGCAAACAGCTGGTGAGAAACACAATTTATGTAACCTATAAACTTTCTACTCAGGAGGTATATCTAGATTTTCCTGATGTAGGTGGGGCACTGACTGATGGTGGACAGGGGTTACACACAGGGGTTCATCTGGGCAAGGCCTGAGCACATAGGCCTACGTACTCACCTGATCAGCCTCACACATCTTCAACAATGGATGTTTCGGAAAATGTTTTGTAAAATGCCTGCTCTTCTCATTAAAACCATTGGTGCGTATCGAATCAAGCGCGTTCCAAACTAATAACTTGACACCAGCCGGCTACCAAAGAGGTTTTGACTTCACTTTTGGAGAGCCGGCATCCCAACCGGCTTTAGTTGGTCAGCTCTTCAATAGTGAGCTATAACTTGTACATGTATTCATTCATTTGCACTAATTGGTACATTAGCTGGGTTGCAGCATGAGAAAAGCTGTGCTCTGTTTATTTATTGTGATCTCAATATTTATCAGATAAATATTGGTTATCGTTTCGGTGCACATGTGGTTTCGATTTTCTCGAGCAAGATTGCAAGGAGCTGGTATTTGAAAGTAGCATTTTAAGGTCATGGAAAGGTTTGGATATCTGAAACGGTTTGTGTAACATGTTATATTATAATAGGTACAAATATTTACAGTTAATTGTGTCAGGGTGAATGAAGCAGGCAGGACCCAAATGCAGATTTCACAGATAATACCTTTATTTCAAGGCTAAACTAGAACAAACAGAACACTACCCCGTGAACACAGTCAATAGGCGCTTTCACACCGCAGTAATTTTCCCACAAAGGTTCATGAGAACTTAGTTCATGAGAACTCTTTAGTTCTCATGAACTAAGTACAGATCGCGTTCACACCGGAATAAGTCCCTGGGGGAGGATTAGGCAAATGAAGCCGCTGACGTCACTTCTTCTTCTGCTTTGGGTTTACTGGCAGGCCGCAAACCACTTCACGGCGTATACTGCCGCCCAAAGTCCCCGGCCGGAAGTCCCCGGAGTTGGGGACTGGCTTCAGTAGAAGCTGCTGGGACTCCCAGCAGCTTCTACTGAAGCCTTCCGAGTAAATCGCCAGAACGCCACACCTCCTCATCTCCACCGCTCCCATGTTTTATTTTGTGTTGCCATAAGTTAGTCTCTCTGCGTTTCTGCGCTGGGCTAATGCTAATAATGCTAATGCGAGGATAATAAAATGGCGGCTTCACAACACTTTTTGGGAGTTTTACGGGGCGTGGTTTGCAATCCGCCCAGCCAATCAGAAATATAGCTCTTTTCTCACAAGAGAGCCGTACGAAAGTCCCTGCTCTCTAGCAGCGACTTTCGTGGGGGTAAAAAGGTTCTCATGAACTAATTTTAGTACCGGCTCTTTTTGGTGTGAACGCGACAAAAGAGTTCTCATGAACTAAGTTCTCATGAACCTTTGTGGGAAAAGTACTGCGGTGTAAATGTGCCTAAAGACAGACAGAAACAACAGAACTTAAATACACACAGGACTAATCAAAGAAACAAGAGACAGGTGAGGAGGGAGGAGAAAACACAGGGGCACAAGGTGAACACAATCGGGTAATCAGACAGGAGGGAACACAGACAGAAAGCAACAGGCAAGACAGGGGGTGAACACTTTTCAAAATAAAACAGGAAACCAAAGACAAAACAAAACACAGACAGATCGTGACAAATTGTAACGATTACAAATGATGTTCTTTTCATAATACCCCCAAAAAACCCATTATGAATAGAATTAGCTACTGACATGTCTACCTCCTGTGATGGAAACTTCTGGAGCAATGGAGAGGAAACTCATCGAGACACAGGGAGAGCTGGAACTTTGATGGCAAACACTGATGGTTTATTATGGAGTTACGGCCGGAGAACTGACAAGACATGTGCTATGCCACGAGGTGACACAGGTTGCCCAACCAATTCTGAAGATCTCTACCCCAGACCTATGTATTTAGCTGGTTCTGAGAGAAGAATCAACATTGTGCAAAGCAAGATAGAACAGGCAAAGCACTATAACACCTCTATCAGCTGACGCCAACAAGCAGGAACAGGGAGACAAAACACTGAGAGCCCAAGGTTGGTCTGTGCTCAGTGAGGGCAGTACACGCTGATAAACTGGGTCAAAGGTGTGGGCCTAGGAACATATTTCCTCAACACCTCCTATTATACGGATGTAAGTTCAGGTTCATCATTTGTTGTTAGCAGATACAGCTAAAATGATGGCACTCACATCACAGATAACATCCTACTGCAGGCGTGACTTTAGCAGAACATGGCTTTTGTCGAAGAGTCAAGACATAATCAAATTCAGGGCCAGATCATAAAATCTGTTTAAAGTGTAACAGTCATAACCCCTGCTTCCTCCTCTTTAATCTGCCAGGCTAATCGTTTCCCTGCATCTCCTTGTTCGTAATATCTGTGTTTCATTATTTGTATTGCCTTTTTTGTTTAATGCTTATGCAGTAATTTATATTCCAGCTGTATTGACTTAAGTTGTTTGAGAATAGCACTGTTATTTGACTATACGTGATGTTTTTCTTGTTCCTTAATCTTTTATTCCAGAGTTTGGAAATTATTCATTTACTGTTTACGTTTACCAAAGGTGGAAAATAAGATTTGGCCTCTGTGACAAGGTTTTTATGGCGTCCCATATAATGTTAGGATTAGCTGCATTTTGATTTATATTAAAAGATTCTGTTGATTTCATTGACAATTTTAATCACTAAATGATAAAATCATGATCCGATAAGGTCCTTGCCAAATACTCACTTGACGTAACCTTCTGATATACCTTGGGGGAGGGTATCAACAGTGAATCTGTACTGGTATAACTATTGTGGACAGAGTACAGAGAGTACAGAGAGTAAATTAGTATTCTCTAGTGTTCGTACACTAAATATCAATGGGCCCCATTCTCAGCGTTTCCTCATTTAGAAGTGTAGCACTTTGTGTTAAAGAGCTGGTCTTCTGTGAAGAGCGATCGAGGATCAGGTCTGGAACTTGATTGAAATCTCCTCCCATGTGAGGGTCCGATAGATTTAAGAATAATTTCTCAAAGAATTGGGGATTATAAATATTGGGTATTTGTACCGTATGCATTAACCAGTGTCATGGGATCAGATTGTAAAAGCTCTTATACTATCACAAATCTTCCAAAAGTGTTGTTGGTGACAGAGTTTACCTATGATGCAGTGACGTGCGGTGAGGTTCATGGCTGGTGAGGCACTTTTTTGTAAAAGTCCTCCTTATCTTCCTCTAGTTTCAAAAGTCTAGTTTGTTGTTTGCGTCTGCGTAGAATAACAGAAGCAACAAGAACCTGTGGGCTCACGTGCGCCCCCTTCAGTGCGGCAGAGGTTATGGCTGCCTCCCCTGGTGCTTTCTCATTGCCGTTGTATGATGAGACCAGCGGGCCTAAATGTCATATACGTGAAATAAGTAAAGGACACATGTAATAAAGGGATCTACAAACATTACAATTGTGACCTACAGTGAGATGGTAACAGGCATGCGATTAGTGCCCGCGCTCCAGCCAGTGTCTGTGGGGTGACGCATCTGAGGTGAGGCAGAACTCGTCCCTGCCTCACTTCTCATCGCTCCCGTAGCGGAGTTCGTCAAATTTGCCGATTTTGACTATAAAAAGCAATTGGAATTATACAGATTGGAATCATACAGAATCACATTTACAAAATAAATCAGTGGAGACATTTTATTATTATTATTATTTAGTTTTTCTTTAGTTTTATTCCCGTTACATTGGAGTATGACAGGTGAGACTCTGCCTGTCGCTGCTGAGATGGGACGTTCCTATGAAGACATATTGCCACTTGGCTTGTTTGGGTTGTATATGATGAAAGAATATCTGGCTATAATTTCCTTGAGTTAGTTTAACATGCTCTGTGTCTGTCAGATGTGTCTCCTGCAGAAAGGCTATATCAATATTATGTTGTATCGAATAATTTTGAATATGTTTCATTTTCACATAGTTTTCAACCCCCCTTACATTCCAACCAGACACCTTTATCCCATCGGTCGTGTTGATTGTGCTTAGATATACTATATAGCGCCTGCAACAAATAAGATGACATATATAAACTATTACTGAAAAGTTCCCTCCTTTTCTAATATAATGTTTAGGTAGACCTATTTTGCTGATTGTAAATAAAGAAAACTTTGGACCCTAACCTCTTTTTCCAAAACTAAAGAGGTACCTCAAAAAACTGGTATCAGTAGTGTTGTGGCATTTTAGATCATTCCAAATTTGCTCAACTCTCAATTATAGTGATCTTAAAAGTAACCTTCAAAAGACTTACTGCGGTTCTATGTATTATGTCAGTCCCCAAGCATGAGTAGACTATAGTTTGCTAAAACCATATGCAAGGAGTAATATAAACAACTTAATAGGCAGACACAGATGAGTGAACATTATATATCTTTTGTGTGTTTTTCTTCCTCTTCGTACAGAATTTTACAAAAGCAGGTCAGCAGGAAGCAGTGCGCTGTGACACCAAAGCTCAGTTGATGAAGAGAGGCTGCAAGAGGGAAGAAATCATCTCCCCGGAGAACACTCTAGTCATTGTGAAGGCAGATCCTCTGTCTGGGTCATTCGACAAACAGCTGAAACAGCCTGTTCAGCTGAGTCCACAGAAGATTAGTTTGAGACTGCGACCTGGTGAGTGGAATCAGTTGATGCGGACATTTGTGAACAGAAGGAACTACAGTGATGTGTTGCCTGTGTTGGCTGGTCAAAAAAATGTTCTTAAATAGCCACTATCATCACATTTGATTTGAGGAATTGTAAAAACTACGGGCACTAAACGTCAAATATGCTTGAGCAGTTTTCTTTCTTTTCTGTCTGTGTGTTTATTTTTTGTTTTTACAGGGCTTCCTACGACATTCAGGGTTTCTTTCAAAAGAGTTCAGGGTTATCCTGTTGATCTCTACTACCTGATGGACCTGTCCTACTCCATGAAAGATGACTTGGCAAATGTCAAAGAACTGGGAAAAGATCTTTTTGCAGCTCTGAAGAGTATCACTAATTCTGCTCAAATAGGTAATAAGATTCAAATGTTAATCTGACAATTCAAATCATAAACAATACAATTGTCTATTATTTGGTAACACCCTCGTAAAATTGGTCTAGAACTGCCACTGTGTATAACGTGTTTATAGGTCTACACAAATATCACTGCATTTCCCCATTCAGACATCTTGAGAAACAAGTAAATCACCCCTGGCTTTGCCTTTTATTTCAGTTAATGAAAAGGAAAAAAAGATTACAAACCAATTGCCCTTTCTTTAACTACAGGGTTTGGTGCGTTTGTTGATAAGACAGTTCTTCCTTACACTAACACCAACAAGGAGAAACTGCTGAAGCCGTGTGATGAGAATGACCAAGAGTGCCAGGCTGCCTTTGGCTACAGACATGTGCTTAGTATGACGTCAGAAGAAGAACAGTTCAAAACAAAAGTAACAGAGGAGTTCATTTCTGGGAACTTGGACTCTCCAGAAGGTAGTCTGGACGCCATGATGCAGGCAGCCGTGTGTGGGGTAAGGAATCTACCAAATAAGTAACTATGAACTGTGAGTTACACAAGGAGAGCGAGAACGGGTTCATTATTAGAAAAGGATGATCAGTAAACAAGAAAAAACTCTTCGGCCGTTTCAAGTAGAAGTAAAATATCAAATTTAGAATGTTTCAGGGACTATGCTTTCAAGCAGTGAAATAGCCGTACCCACTATGAATTGCAACTGAATTCTGAAGTATACCAAATGACATTGTCAAAACTTCAAAATATACTTCATGACCCTAACCCTGACAAGTAAAATTAGGCTTGATGCTATATTTTCTAACATCAAAGGGCCTGTGATCTGAGGAAGCAAATATAGACATAAAAGAGAGTTGACAGGAGAAAGTATTCTGTTTATGTACAAAGGAGGAGCCTATCAGAGCATTACATAATGCCCTTTGAGGTAGGGAGAGTAGATCACATCATTTGTACATTTATCCCATCATCTATGTGAAGTTAAAACTTCTTTGCAGCAATGTTGAGCCAATCATGAAATGAGTGAAACTGGATTCGCCTGTCAATACACTGATATTTATTGAGAGCCTCAGCGGCCGGAGAGTTCACAGCATATCACAGTTCTCCTGTAAGATACCAGCAAACTCTGAACTCTAAAAGCGCCAAGCACCCAACTATACAGACAAGAAGAGGAGGGCCCTAAAACACGCGGGTTTTCCTTTAATGCATGCCAGATGTCGAGACAAAGACTCGTTGCATTGTAAACCCACATGAGCCAAGCTTCTCCCCCACAAGACATCAGATGACCTCTTGACCTGTGTCTTCCTGAGAAGCTATGGATCACATTACAGGCAGGAATACACTTCAACCATATGAACAGATTCCCGAGGACAAATCACTAAACTCTATATACTTTAACAAGACCAAAATATTCCTTTACAATCTAGATCAGGGGTGTCAAACTCAAGGCCCGGGGGCCAAATCCGGCCCGTGACCTCATTTTATGTGGCCCCACAAGAGCTTGCAAAGAATATAATATGTTTATTATAAAGTTACATGCAGATTTACAGAAGCACGTTGCCCATAAACTACATGTCCCACAATGCATCTCAAATTTGACTTTTGTTCTTCAAAATATTCATTTTCTCAGAATGTCACTTCTTTTTTCATTTTTTTTTTAAATGCTACTTGATTTTATTTTGACTTTTTTTTCCAGAATTTGGCTTTTCTTTTTAAATCATTTTGTGACATTCTCACTGAAGAGACTTATTAAATTATTACCCTATCCGATAATAATCCAATGCAGACGGCAATAATTATTTTATATTAGATATTTATATATGTATTTTTTGTATGTATATAAAACTGGCCCTTTGAGTGCAACCATGATGCTAATGTGGCCCGAGATGAAATTGAGTTTGACACCCCTGATCTAGATGGTTCATATATCAATATATAAAATGCAGCCCAACAAAAGCTTACCATCCCCATCATTTCATTTTGTCTTTAACACAATCACAACGTTTTCTATCCAAACTAAAAATACAATCTTGTTCTGGTATCCTAAACCTAGGACCAGAAGCATTACAACATCCTCATTGTAGTTACTCCCATGTTTTTCACAATGCATCTTACTTGGGTTTAAATGTACTTTGGAGGAGGCTGATATGAGAGATCACAGGGTTTTCTTAAAGCGAAACATTCAAATTTCAATTAAATGGGCCTTTAAAGTGTTCTTACTTAAATTGTTCCATACACATGTATTGTTGTTTAGGAAAGAATAGGTTGGAGGAACAGCAGCACTCGGCTGATTGTGCTGACCACTGATGCCGGATTCCACATGGCCGGAGATGGAAAATTAGCTGGCATACTGGAACCCAATGATGAACAGTGCCACATAGAAAACAGCTTGTACACCAAAAGCAATGTAATGGTATGGAATCACATAAAAAGCAAATGCCTTTTTTTTACCTGCCATGCCACTTTTACTGTAACAACGTAAATGTCCCCGATGTGGGACTGATAAAGGATTTCTGATTCTGATTTCTGAATTAATTTGTTGCAGTGGCATGGTTACCAAGATTGTAATACATTGTTGAAAAACTTGTGTAGTGAGGTTAGCACCTTAAATAGTTATGTAAGGTATGTAACATAAGGTTTACAGAATGTCACTGATTTCTTGGATGGTTGTGTGCAGGACTACCCATCTGTTGGACAACTAGCCATGCAGTTGGAAAAAAACAATATTCAGCCGATATTTGCAGTGACAAAAAATGTGGAGGATGTGTACAAGGTAAAATAAATGTACCTTTTGTTTTTGTGCCTCATTTCATTTATTCATGGTTCACACATTTCATTCTTATGCTAATTGTTTTAATTTAACCTTGTTTTTTATCCCAGCAACTCACTAAATTGATTCCAAAATCAGAGGTGGGAGTTCTGTCCTCAGATTCAAAAAATGTGGTTCAATTGATCAAGGATGCCTACAAAGTAAGTTGTCCGTTTATCACATTCTCCTTTTTGTTGGGTGTGCATCTGTCAGTTATTTTCCTCACACGTTTTTGTTTTATCCAACCCTCTTGAATGTGCACTCCATGGCAGAGGTTGTCGTCCAAAGTGACTGTGACCCATGACAATCTGCCTGAGCATGTGAGCGTTATCTACACCCCTAACTGCAAGGGTGCAGGACCAGCAGGGGAGAGCGAAGGGATTTGTGATAATGTACCAGTGGGAAAGGAGGTCAGTTCTTTCTCAGTATTTTTAAACTTTTCAATTTGATTTCAAATTCCTGTTATATTAATTTGAGGTCCTTGAGGCACTGGATTTAGTAGGGTAATAATAATGACATAACTACTAAACACATTTAAATGTATCATAGCTCCTTTTATCTCATTACTCAAAGACACTTTTACATTTAAAAAACATTTCATACCAACATCCAAACAAACACATACACAAATGAAAAAAACACAATGCAATGAAATGAATAAGAAAAACTAAACTGGAATAAAAATATGTCAAAACTGGTGATTTTGAAACTAGTGAGTTTGAACAATTCAAAATCATTACATTACATTTAAATAATTTTCTTAAAATTAAAAAATGTGCTCGAGTACCACTACTATGAAAAAACACAGACAATACAAGTCACTGTTTTAATAAGTAAGCATAAACAGTTTACCAAACATATACAATTTGATTGGTACATACTTCACTTCTAAATACCTCACGTCATCCATATAAGCTCTCCTTCCAGTTGAAGTTCAATACTAACATATTCAAACTTGAAGTCGAACAGTAATACTTCCAAACATGATAAGATGTTGTAAAACAAACAAACACATTGTTCTGCGGTATGCCCAACATGACAGTAGTGGGTGTACACTGTACAGACATGCAGGACCCTGAAAAATGCGGTCGCAGACAGACGTTTTTGTAATAACTGCTGCCGCACTAATACAAAATGCAGAATGTAATAACACCCAATATTATGCTGAAAAAATTGGCCGGGTAGGACCTAAAGGTGTTTAGAATTGATCTGAGAGGGTGTTAGGGGTGACGGTCTTGGAGGAGGAGTGAGGTTAAATATCATCAACATTGCAGTGGAAACGGATGCCATCTTGGCGGAGGTTTTTTAGGGGGAGGGTGTATAGGAGAGAAAACCTGGGGGCAACACAAGTGGCTGGGGTACTGGATGGCAGTTCTAAATCACACAAGAGATAATAACACGCAAGCGTTCTCCCACTGAATTACAATTTGATAAACGTAGCCCGCCAATCAGGACGATACTACATGAATGCGTGTGTCGGCCTCACATTATAAGTCAGCTACGCCGCTGACTGTCACTCTTCTTACTTCAGCGTCTTCGTCATGACATATTTCATTTCATTTCAATCCTTTATTTAATCAGATTGGTCCCTTGATATCATAGATCTCTTTTTCAAGGGAGACCTGCAGCATAGAGACAATAAACAATAAAGGACATCATACATTATAAAATATTAATATATTGAATGAAGAATTTTCAAAATGCATGAATCTTACACCATTTCCCCTCTCTGTTATGTGGTGCTATAACACACGCCTAACAACCATTATGTTGCCCTACATCATGTGAGGAACATACAATGTAATTTAATGTAAATTGGATGATGTCTATCATATAGGGCTGAGTTCTTGTTGCCAGTAGGTGTCACTATAATTATGAAACTATATTGACCTGTAAAAGTCCTCAGGCCAGAATTATTATTCAAGACATTTGGAACAGTTTGAAAAATGTAGTCTCAACTACTTCCTTGTTTCATGGCATGTCTTAAAATGGAAGCAATGCTGCAAGGGTGTTGCATGCAACTGAAACCTTTTAATAACGCCTTAAAAAGGTAATCGCCTCAAAATGGCCAAATTGCACACAAAAAAGTATTATTTTAAGACAATATGTGATACATGTGACATGCATATACTGTATCATATATCTAGGTTTTAACATAAAGTGAAGGCTGCTCTATTAAAGTTTTGTAGGGGGTGCTAATGAGTCAAGTTTTGTGTGCTTTCATCCCCAAGCACAAACAATTACTTACTGTTTCATGGCAAACACAGCAACACCACGAGAATAGCAATCAACTGGTCAACCTGCTAAAAAGCAACAACACAGAACTCACCAGAGCAGTGCCGAGATGGAGTACTAGTCCTGGACTCGGACTCGGACTCGCGCACTGATTGACAAGACTCGGACTTGGACTCGTGAATTCTCGCGCACGATGACTTGGACTCGGACTCGTGAGGTGACTCGGACTAGACTTGTACATTGACACTCCGACTTGGACTCAGACTCGAGCAAGTTTTCTCTGGAGTCTGATGTCCTCTATCCTGGCTTGTGCACCTGCTAGGCGAGTTCACGTACTGGGCCCCGCTAATCCAGTCTAAATATGTCTGGAGACACACCCCGCATCGTGCTGTATGCTTTCACACATTCTGCTTCCACATTGGAAAAGAGCAGCGCAAAATGTTCGTTATGAGGAAACCAGTGCTGGAATTGGGCCGGTACTCACCGGTACGCAGTACCGGCACTTCTGGTTCTGACCCATGGAGTACCGGCACTTCTTGCTCAGTACCGGCATGCTGGCGGTACTCCGGTACTCATGCACCGTGCCAGTACTCAACACTCTCCCGCCGTTCTTATTATACATCCATATATATATATATACAGCCGCCCGGTACTCAGTAGATGCGTCATGAGGTGCCGAACGGACATTCTCATCGCTCTAACCGCTGGAGTTTCACAGCGGCTGTCAGCTGTTTACTCCTGTCATTCAAACAGAACGTGCTGGAGAGGGGGCGGGGCTTATCTTCTCCATGTAAATACTGTGGTGGAAACGACTATGTCAAAATTAACCTATTTGACCGTGATTTAATAGTAATACACGTTTCAAAATAATAATAATAATAATAATGCCGAAGTAACAACATACTGAAAACTGTTAGTAAAACCATGTTTTAATGCTTTACAATTTACATACCTAGATGCACGTGTGTTGTGTTTATGCAGTGCAACTCCCACCCAGTGGGTGGCTATGTAGAGTGATAGAACAGAGCAGGCACGCCCCCGAGAGAAGGAAAGCAAGTCACGTCACAAATTAGCATTTCTAAAATGTTAGCGTGGATTAATAAAAGTGCAAAAAGACAGCGGTTGTCGCCGGAAGAAACTTCAAATACAGAGAATGCTGTGCCTGTGTTGGAAATTGTGTCTGATGCGGAGCTTTCTTTGGTTGATCCTCCTGCTCCAAGTTCTAGTGCATTAGCATTAGCACTAGCTCCGCCGCCTCCTCCAGAGCCTCTAACGTTAGCTGCTGCTGGCGCAACTGCCACCACCAACACCGGGCAAAGCGATGCACCTGACTGCTGGACAACGGACCAGGTGCAATATTTTTGCAAGACCAATGCATGGCTCCTTCTTAAAGATAAGAAGCTAGGATGTCGGATATGCAGAGATGTCAAATCTTTGGGAATACACACTGGACAAGGACTGAAACTGTCAACTGAATGGGGTGAGTGTGCAGTGTCTCATTTCGGTGTTGACAAGGGCAAACAACAAGCTAGCCTGAGAAAAAAAATCAAAGAACATAAAGAATCACAAGCCCATGTAAAAGCTGCTGACATCCTTACATCTGCTTCACGTGAAACTATTCAACATCAAGTGCAGTCTATGCATAAATCTGAATTAGACACCACTATCAGAGTTTTTCGAACGGCATATAAAATTGGCAAACATAGCCGGCCATTCACAGACATGCCAATTGATTTGAATGTACAGAAACTGAATGGGCTGAACGTGGGCAGGGTTTTGCACTCCAATAAAACCTGTGGCGAAATCATCGACCACATAGCTCATGAGCTGAAGAAAAAAATGGCAAAAGACATTACAGAAAACCAAAGAAAACTCTGTGTTTTGGTCGATGAATCTACCACTATTAGTGGTAAAACGGTGCTTGTTGTGTGTCTACGCTCAGCATTAGCTGATGCTGAGCCCGAAACGTTTTTTTGGGAGCTGATCGAGTTGGATGGAACAACGGCTGATGACATCACAAAGGCGTTAATGGAGTGTCTTGGAAGAGATTTTAACGAGGACTTTTTAGGTCAGTGTTTCGTTTCTTTTGCATGTGATGGGGCTTCAGTCATGCTAGGGAAGAGAACAGGCGTTGCTACCCAGTTGTGTAGTAAATTCCCAAGCCTGTTTGTGTGGCACTGCTCCAATCATCGTCTAGAGCTGGCAGTTGGGGATGTGGTCAAGGAGGTCTCAGGGCTCAATCATTTCCAGATCTTTTTTGACAAACTCTATTCCTTGTTCCATGCCTCTCACAAAAATCAGAGGCAGTTAGCGCAGTGTGCGCAAGCAGTCGGACAGCGTCTCCTGGTGATAGGGCGTGTTTTGTCCATCCGCTGGGTGGCTTCAAGTGAAAGGAGCGTCAGAGCAGTCTGGGAAAACTACCGAGTGCTTCATGATCACTTCACAAATGCTGCAAACGACACGAGCAGGGATTCCAGAGACAGAGCAAAGTACAAGGGCCTGGATGATGTGCTCACATCTGCAACGTTTGTCAGCAATCTGGGACTGATGTACGATGCGCTCACAGAGCTCAGCGACCTCTCTCGGCAACTCCAAAAAAGAGAGATGACACTGCCTACAGCAGATAGGCTCTTAACTCGAGAAATACGAGTTTTTGAATCCATGGTCACCATGCCTGGCCCACACATGACTACAGTTCATACAGCTCTAGCTGAGAAGTCCTTCAAGGGTGTTGCCCTGCGTGAGAATGGCAGGCTTGTACAGATCCATGCAGGTCAGTTTTTCCGCAGTATGGTAGAGAATCTGAGACACAGAATGACTTCCACAACCTCCTCTCATGTCAGCACAAGAGAAATCCCATTACATGGCCGGGAGGCCCGGGACAATCAGCTAATCCAGGACATGAAAGTGGAAGTTGGCCTGAAGAGGAGTTAGACGTACAGTATGGGGACGTAGAGGTGCTACGTTTGTGCGAAGTGCTGAAAGTGGACAGAAGAGAGACTGTTCAGGGCTTTCGCGAATACAAGGAAACCAGGGCATCCCGTACACCTGCTGCCATGGAGCCTCTACTGAAAGCAGTTCCGAACCATCGCTGTCTCCACTAGTGAGTGTGAGCGGGCATTCAGCTGCATGAACGATATCCTTACTGCAAAAAGGAATGCTCTCTCTGTCAGCCGACTGTCCAGCCTGGTTTTCATTAAATGTAATGGACCATCACTAGGACAGTTCAATCCGGAACAGTATGTGAGGTCCTGGCTGGCAAAGGGAAGGAGAAGTGCTGATGAAAGAGCCTGTCCAGCTCCAGCCCCTGATACTGATGTCCCCAAGGCCTTCTGGAGCCTTTTCTAACAATGTGAAGTATATTGCAAAGCAGCTCACCCAGTGAGAAGACTTTTGGCATAATGTGCCGATTTGTACAGATCCTGGAGATAGAAGGACTTCAGACCAACCAGGGAGTTATCTGATCAGCTTGGTGTTCAATGTAACTCTTTACCATGGCTCAGACTTTGTTACTTGCAGTTACAGTTTCTCATTTTAGATTGTGCACATTTTGCATTTGTTTTTACATGTTCTTTGTTCATGCTCTTTATCATTTTTCTGAGTTGGAAAGTTAGATTGCATCATAGTTTACTTTATACATATTTGTATTCTTCAGTGGTGAAGTATATTGCAAAGCAGCTCAGCCATGTGAGAAGACTTTTGGCACTTTATCGTTTTTCGTTTTCTGAGTTGGAAAGTTAGATTGCATTCAAAATGTACAGAAATACTTAATTTTGTTAAAGCTTTTTATAAAAAATGCTTCTGACCAGAGCTTTGTTTCCTTGTCATTAATGTTGAACACCACCAGAGGGGCTCTCACCTGAAAGGTCTCTGCTTCATGTGTCTTCAGCAGAAGATCTAGACTTTGATTGCTATATTTTCAGTTAATATTGACCTTACTGAGCTTTAGCCATAGCCGCTGCCTATCATAAAAAATGTTAAGTACAGTGAACCTTTCTAAAATATACAGTAGTAAAGAGACAAACCCACCAGCATTATAGTAGCCAAATTCTTGTTTGTGGTCTGTATATATAAAATTGACTTGAAAAAGTTGCTGATTTTAGAGTACTGGCACCTTTTTCATTCCAATTCAAGCACTGGAGGAAACAATATTGAAGAGAAGGCTCCGTAACACATTACTCTAAGGATCGAGTTCAGACATATAGGCTGTCTTGAACAATATCATCAGAGTAACGTGATCTAATCAATAAATAAAGATTCAGCCGATAACACGAAAGCACATGGCTACTTAACATGCAGAATGACGTCATTTTGCATGCTAAGTAGCCATGTGCTTTCTGGGGCTTAATCTTTATCAGTAAACCAATTTAACTGGTAAAAGTTCCTTCAAAATAAGAATCCTGATCTTATTACTATCAAAACAAAAGTGCAAAATGAAAACTTTACCATATGAAAATATTGGCATACAAATGTAATCACTTCTCTAAAAGGTAACTCATTTTAAATATAGTTAGACATATTAAAGGTCATTTACAATAATAATAATAATAATAATAATAATAATATTATTAATAAGCTTTATATTTGTATAGCACCTAAGAATTGTAGCCAAACTCGCTTCACAGCAGTTCAATAGACAGATTAGTATAACATGACAGGATAAAAGCAATGTAGAGGAGCAGCTACATTTCAACACACATATCCACGAAGATTAATACATGAAGACTGGTGACTCGGACTTGAAATCGGACTCTTCTTAGGTGACTCGGAGTTGGACTCGGATTCGAACACAGGTAATGATGACTCGACTCGGACACTCCTTGGGTGACTCGGACTTGGACTCGGACTCGAACACAGGTAATGATGACTCGGACTCGACTCGGACACTCCTTGGGTGACTCAGACTTGGACTCGACTACGACTCTCCCTAGGTGACTCGGACTTGTACTCGGACTCGAAGAGTGACTTGGACTCGTGAATTGGTGACTTTACTACAACACTGGAGCAGTGCACCTAAAGCGACCCCCCCATATAATGCGGTCAGTGCAGTCTCTATGGGGGAAGTGAGCTTAGCGGGTTGATAAACTTGTTGCAGCACATTTCACCTGAAATATCTTCACCGCCAGTCCTGAATTTCCAAGAGGAAAGAAATACGTCCGTGCTGCTTTAACTTTCAAATATATCTGGGTTTTTTATTAGTGGTAAAAAAACACTTTTCATCTGAAGCCAACAGCCAACAAGACTTTGGTAAAGAGGCATGTACAAAGGCACTTAAGACATAAGACAAATTACTGTAAAAAGTAAAGAAGCTGGAAGGGAGAGTTCCATTAAAATGCATTTAAGTACAAGGGGGGATCAAGAATGTGGCTTTCACAAGTTTACCATTAAAACCAGTGTGTGTTTTTTATATATTTAAAGTGTATCAATACATATTTAACAGCTCTGACTCTTTAACCCTGCCTTCCCTCTCCAGATTTATTTTGATGTCACAGTGACAGCAGACACATGTATTGAAGACAAGTCTTTCACCATAAGACCACTGGGAATTAAAGACACATTGACAGTGACCCTATCTTCAAACTGTGAGTGTGAATGTCAAGACCCACAGGACAGCAGTCACCCACACTGCAACGGCAGGGGAAGAGTTAGCTGTGGTATTTGCAGGTAAGCTATACAACTCCTAAACATTGACTGTAAATTGGCATGTATTTAAATAAATGCAGTGAAACAGTGTGAGTAAGTATGTGCAAGTTGTTTATGGTTATTGCAATGAAAAAACAGACTGGAAAATAAAGTCAAAAATAAATGACAGACTATGAAGCTGTGAGTTCTCTGCTAATCATAGGGGAGGCTTGTGGAGGGTTATTCCAGATGCAAAGATTTCCTCTATCTGTCCTGTCAGTGTGTGGAGAATAATCTCTGCTGTGTGTCCAGCAGCTGGTGGTCAGGATAATCAGTCATGGAGAGCAGTTTGTGCAGAGTCCTTCCCACCACAACTCCAAACACATTTGACATGATTACATGTAGAAGGCCCTTTAGGTTGTATGTTCAATATGATAAGTATGGTGGCCGATATGGGCAGATACTGTACATTAAAACAGCCCAACATAAGGAGAAACGCGCTGCAGTTTCAAAACCAATGCAAAAAAACACAAATGTGCTATAATACATGAAGACACATCTTCAGAAACTTGAGGAAACATGCGCAGCGTTTACTAAAAGCTGCAGAAACCAAACGCTGCAAGAAGCTCAAAACACAACGGAGACCAGGGGACAATAAAGAGTGACGCACCCAGCTGGGGGACCAGGGGACACTAAAGAGTGACGCACACAGCTGGGAGACCAGGGGACACTAAAGAGTGACGGACACAGCTGGGAGACCAGGGGACACTAAAGAGTGACGCACACAGCTGGGAGACCAGGGGACACTAAAGAGTGACGCACCCAGCTGGGGGACCAGGAGACACTAAAGAGTGACGCACACAGCTGGGAGACCAGGGGACACTAAAGAGTGACGCACCCAGCTGGGGGACCAGGAGACACTAAAGAGTGACGCACACAGCTGGGAGACCAGGGGATACAAAAAAGTGACGCACACAGCTGGGACCAGAGCGCTTGGTGTCGTTCAGGATTATAAAGCTGGACAACTGTCTCCGTTGTTGGAAACTTACCTAAAATGTTTTATCAGCTTATTTTTAACAATATCTTCACATGTTTCCGATCATATTTCAGATCTGCTGTGTTTTTTGTATAACACATGCAACGCGTTTGCCCCTGTCGGCCACCGTAAATATGATCATAATGCGCTACAGGGACTTGGAATTGAAAAAAATTAACCATTTATCCATCAAAGAATTGTACTATCCAGATCGAAAACTTCAGTAAATGTCATAAAATAGCCTGTACTACACCTCTTCAACCCTACCTTATCCCTCCAGATTAAATGTAATGTCACAGTGACAGCAGAGGATGGAGGACATGTATTTCACTTTAAGACTAGGCATTAACTATATATTGGCAGGGACCCTATCTACAAACTGTGAGAGTCAATGGGAAGACCCACAGAACTGCAGTCCCCAACAATGCATTAGTGTCCCTTCATAATCACCGAAACTTAAAGGAACCGTTCAGTGTGGCATTTCAAGGGATTGTGTTTATTTCAAAATTGTAAACTACATGACCTGCAAAACTTCCCATCCGCCTCAGCTGTCTTTGTGTTCAGTGCTAATTAGCAAATGTTGGCATGTGTGAACATCATAAACATTACACCTGCTGAACATCATTGTGATTTATGTTAACATACTGGTTCTAGCATTTACCTCAAAGCACAGCTGTGTCTACAGCCCCACAAACTTGAGCCTGGTAAATGTTTCCAAACAGCATACCGCTTATACCAAAACGTAAAAATAGTTCCTGTAATTAAGGTGTTGTTGCTCTCCGACTTGTCCTCATTCAGCTGCAGTGAAGGCTCCATTGGTCAGTTCTGCGAGTGCTCTATTGGGGAAAAAGACGAGGTCTCGCTGCGAGCGTCCTGTCAGAGGGACAACGGCACCGAGTGTGAGGGCCGAGGAGATTGTGTATGTGGCAGGTGCCAGTGCCACACCACAGAGAGTGGAAGTAGTTACCATGGTGACATCTGCGAGTGTGACGATGAACACTGTGAGAAGTTCCAGAATAAACTATGTGGAGGTAGAGTTTTAGTAATTTTCCAAAAACATAACTTTTTTCATTGTGTGTTTTACCAGATAGCCAATAGGTACTTTCATCAAAACACTTTGTATCTCTAAGACCTAACATATGGGCAAATTGCATTTACTTTCTCATAAATCATTTGTAAAGCATAAAGCAAAGTACTAGGAAAACCCCAATATTTGTTTTAACATAAAGACATAACATTCATGATATATTTTTACAAGATATAGTTATAGAACTACCAACACCTCCCACATTCTGCCCAATGGGATCTCCCTGTCACTCACAATGTTGTGTACCTAGGCTCTGAGTGACACAGGTCATTATTATTTTACATACTGCAAATGTACTTTAACTCTTTTCTCCATTTCTCTACTTGTAGGAAACGGTAAATGCAATTGTGGCAGATGTGAATGCTTTTCAGGCTACGAAGGCTCAGCCTGTCAGTGTAAGGTGTCTGAGGAGGGCTGTCGGACCCTCAACAACACTGTGTGCTACAACAGAGGGACCTGCAAGTGTAACCGCTGTGAGTGTAAGGAGGGATACCAGCATCCACGATGCCACAAATGCCTCGGCTGCCCAGACCCCTGCCAGACCAAACTGTAAGGATGTAAACTTCTACTGAACCTTTACTTCAAATGACTGTCGACCTATCACATTCAAAAAAGAAATCACTCCAATAATATGTCGAAGCTGCGAAAATGCCCCGGGTGATTTAAACTGTTTTTGGGGGAAGATGGTGCAGCATAAAGAACAATGATTAGCTTAACGTTTTGTTGGGTAATTATTACAATAAATGTTTGTGATGTTACTTTTTTGTAGTTCTTCGCTGATATCATCAGTATCTACCCAGAAAGATAATCTGAACATGTGTTTTACTGTTGTGTTTCAACATGTTATATCTTATCCAATCAATGTAAGTTTAGCAAACATTATTTCAGTCAGACAACTCACGGGTTCCTTTAACATGTTTATTAGAAGCAGCATATAGTTGAGTTTGGCGACTAGGCTCGGGCTTCATCACTCCATAGATATACATAGCACGATGAGTGATGATTAAATAACTAACCCCCCGAGCCTACAGGTGGAAGCTGGGGTGGTGGTGGGGCAGCAAGCAGCAGCGACGTAGAGGTAGCTGCAGCAATAGCAGCAGCAAGCAATGCATGGAGAGAGATCTGGCAGGTTCAATAGAGCAGCATATCAAGGAGACTCTGTTTGGTTGGTTGTAGAGTGGCAAGGGGGCGTTATGTATGAATGCAGCACAAGTGCTCGAGTTGACTGCCTGAACTAGCTCGCAGGCTCCGCCCCATTTCTCAAAAGTATCCTATGCTTATACAATACTTGTGTCAATGCATTATTTGTAAATTCATAGTAATGTTTTAAATGATGGCATGTTTAAACAATTGGAAACATTTTATGAATTTAAAAATAATCTTGTTTTCAGGAACTGCATTGAATGCCTTGGCTTTGAGTCCGGTCCCTTTAAAAAAAACTGCAGTGTGGCTTGCAGCAAAAGCATTTATCACGAGATGGTTGATCAGTTCACCGTACAAAGCAAGAAGTGCCAGCAGAAGGACACGGAGGGATGCTGGATCAGGTTCAATCTGGACCAGTTGGTCGGAGAAGATCACTACAAGGCTACAATTCTCAAACAGAGAGGTGAGCAGCTCATAATGTGTGGAATATTCTTCAGAGCTATCAAACTCTTACATTTAAGTACTATTGTATGCTATTTGGAAACATTTAACAAGACTAAAGTTGTTAGCAGGTTTGTGGGGCTGTAGACACAGCGGTGCTTTTAACTAAATGCTATTCACAGCATTTTAACATGCTCAAAATGATTATGCTTTTCAGCAGGTGTACTATAATGTTTATTATGTTCTTACATGCTAATATGTTTCTAGTAAGCACTAAACACAAAAACATCTGAGGCTGATGGGAAGTTTTGCAGGTATTTGTTCATGAATATGAAGCAATATGGAAAGTCAGAGGATCACTAAAGTTATCGCATTGCAACTAGTTTTTATATAAGTTAGTCAGAGGATTACCATCATTTTTAGGTTTCACTCTCCGGGGACCATTCATGTCAACACAAAATAGTTCAAATAGTCCAAAGTGGTATGCCGACTGACCAACAAGCCGGCCAAAATAAACACTCACAAATGTCAGCAGACATACTCTATTCTTCAATTCATAATGTTTGATATAGGCTGTCCTTTCCGATATCAGTAAATCTTTCTGTAGCCTAATTTCTCCCTGTTCCTCCAGACTGTCCGGAGCCCCCCAGTGTCATAGCTATCATCGGGGGCTCCATTGCATCTGTTGCTCTCATTGGCATCCTAATGCTGATGCTCATCAAGCTACTCATCTACATGAAGGACATAAAAGAATTCAGAAAATTTGAAAATGAAAGGAAGAAATCCAAGTGGGCAGAGGTGAGACAATTTAGATATTTATATACATTGTTGCCCAAAAAGTTGGAATAAAATATTTTTTACCGCTTCTCATTTAATGATTGGGACAATTTGATTTATTCTTGATAGATAGTGTACATCTTCTCAAAACATTATTGATCATCTCTTTCAAACATATCACAGTGAAAATTAAATAGGAATAAAAAAAGGAAAGTGTCTGAAATCTAAATGATTCCAACTTTATGGCTAACATTGTATACATATATATATATTCATACATACATACATACATACATACATACATACATACATACAGTACATACATACACACATACACAAAATGTCGTTTTTCTGTGATCTTTTGATGGACTTCCTGTTGCCAGTAGTTGCACATTGACTATTGCTGCATCCCAAATCTCTTATTTGACAATTCCTAAATCCTCAGGGAGCGACCACCTGATCATCCTTCAAAATCATTAGGCCTCAGGGAAGTGAACAGAGATGACAGATTACACTCAAGTGCATTACTCCTACTGTTGATAAAAAAAAAGAAAGATGTATCATCTAGTTAAAATATGAGATAATAAATCTGAACACATACCACTTTCATCATCCATGAAAACAATTAATTGTTCATGATCTATTGTTTCTCCCATTAACTTTGATTATGAATACAAATACATTCAGTGAGAGTATTGCCCCTTTCACACCAACGAGGTTCCAGGGCCGGTTCGGAGCTAGAGCCTGATAAGCACAGTTTTTTCCTGTTGACACTGCAGCGGAGCCGGCTCTTTCCCCCCGAAAACCGGTTCTTACAAAGCTTGAAAAAATTGTCGGTCTAGAAGCAAGAACTGCATACATCACGCTTACGTCGGAGGGGTGCAAGATCAACCTGAGCTAACAGTTTATGGCGAGTACGGCAAATAAAAGTTGTAACAAGCAGTAGCACTGAGCAAAGTGACGAGAACGCAACCACACACTTGTACAAAAACACACTTTATAAAGTCAGGCAACACTAACCAGGCTTTGTCGGTAAATGCCGTTGAAACACATTAATAAACAATAAACCACGGCACTCTGGAGAAAAGTACAAGGTTGGAGAAGTAGTTATTTAATAATCTGGCTTTGTATGAGCGGGGTCGAGGATGATACCAAGGTTACGGACGTGAGTTGAGAGATTGACGATGGAGCCGTCGATGTTTAGAGAGAAGTCCTGGGTGGAGCGGGTAAGTGAGTTTGGGCCGATGATTATTTCAGATTTCAGTTTCATTTAGGGCTGCTCGATTAAGGCTAAAATCTCGATTATTTTGGTCAATATTGATATCACGATTATTAAATAAGATTATTCATTGACTTTGAAAACATCAATTTATTGAACTCAAACAAAATTAAAAAAAATATTTGAACAGTATATTTTTAACAGTTGATTACCCTGAACTTTAAGTATAATTTAACTGCAAAGTATTCAGCTGAAGCCACATATTTTTCAACTTCCACACTGCATTTGTCATATAGGGCAGGCAGTGAAGATCTGGTGAAATAATGGCCGAGATGGCATCGCGTAACACTTGTCCATAGTATTAACCAGTTGCTTAAACCCCTGGTTTCTAACAGTGCTAACTGGGCACATGTAAGCTATGAAGCTATGAAGCTATGAAGCTATGTAGAATGTGATGGCATCTTTTATATCTTTGTGCCTTTGCGAGCTGGTTGAGTAGGCCGTAAAGCGCATCCTTAATTGATGACTGTGATCTGGTGGATGAAGTTGAGGGGGCACGCTCGTGAACTGTCAACGGGGGGCAGCGGGAACCTCGCTGCGGGGGAACTGTGGACCTCTGTCGCAACTGAAATTATGACGTTTAAAATAAGTGGGCCGGGCTTTTTTTATTCCACGTCGGACTCCTTAAACCAAAAGTATTTCCAAACAGCGGAATTCGCTTTACTTTTCTTGTTCACGAGGTGTCTTGTTCTGCCATCTTCGCTCGTGCTGAACTCACACAACTATTGTCACTCACAACCTGGCCGAGAAGGCTTTTAGGGAGGGACGAAAGCGCATGCAGCAAAATAATTGTTTTTTTTCGATTACATTTTTTTCATAATCGTTGCAAGCCAAAATCGTAATCGAGATCAAAATGCGATTAATTGCACAGTCTTAGTTTAATTTCAGAAAGTTGTTTTGCATCGATGTTTTGATGTCAGTGAGGCAGTGGGGAGTTGGGAGTGGGTGGTTGCAGAAATAGTTTTGTAGAGAGGAAGAGTTGGGTGTCGTCGGCGTAATGGTGGAACCGGAGATGGTGTTGACGGAGGATCTGTCCAAGTGGGAGGATGTAAATGATGAAAATCAGGGGACCAAGTACAGAGCCCTGGGGGACGTTGTGAGTGACTGAAGCGGTGGGGGATTTGCAGTTGTTGATGGAAATGAATTGTTTTCTGCCAGATATGATTTGAGCCAGGAGAGGGCGTGCCAGTTATGCCAATTAAGGACTGATGAGGATGGAGTGGTTAATGGTGTCAAAGGCGGCGATTAGGTCAAGATGGATGAGGATGGAGAGGGAACCAGAGTCAGCAGAGAGGAGAATGTCGTTGCTGATCTTAAGTAGGGCAGATTCTGTGCTGTGGCGAGTGCTGAAACCAGATTGAAATTGTTCATGAAGGTAATGGCTATCCAGGTGAGATTGTAATTGGGAGGCTACAGTTCGCTCCAAAATCTTTGACAGGAATGGGAGGTTGTAAATGGGCCGGTAGTTATTGAAGGTGTCAGGGTTTAGTCCGGTTTTTTTCAGTACAGGGGTGACAGCAGCGAGTTTCAAAGCAGGGGGGACGAGACCAGTGCACAGAGATGAGTTAATGACTGCGGTGATAAGAGGATTCAGTTGGGGGAGACAAGCTTTGATAAGGGTGGAGGGGATGGGGTCCAGGATGGAGGTTGAAGTTTTCATGCCAGTGACTAGGGAAGCTAGGTCAGCAGTGGTGATTTGAGTGAATGATGTAAAAGGGTGATTCGAAGGAGGAGGGAAGGAAGGTTCAAGGTAAGGATGGGTGGTGGAGGACTTGGAAGCGTTGGCCAGTTGGCTGTGTATTATTTTTCATTTTGTCCTGAAGAAACAAGAGAAATTAGTCACATTTGGTGGCGGTGAAGGAGTTGGAGATGATGTCCATAGGTTTGAGGAGTTTACTTATCTTTGAAAAAAATGTCTTAGGGTTGTTACAGCTAGAATGTATGACTGAGGAGTAGTGGGAGGAGCGTGCACCGATGATGCATCTTTGTACTGTTGTTGGTGTAGTTTGTAGACATCTTTATGTATCGTAAGACCGGTTATATTGGCAAGTCTTTCGAGCTGGCGGCCTTTAGATTTGGGCCGATGATCAGTGTACCAGGGGTGGAGTGAGTGAAAGAGACAGATTTGGTTTTTATTGGTGCGAGTTGATTGAGATAGGAGGAGAGAGCATTGTTGTAGGTGTTGACCAGGTCAGCAGGTTAAGCTTAATGGGTGAGGGTGGAGTTAGGGATGGTGTCAGCCTATAGGGAGGAGGGGTTTATGGATTTGAGATTCTGGAAACTTATGGTGCGCTTCTGCTTGATGAGGGGGGTTAGGGTGAGGATGTCCATGGTAGTTGCCAGATGGTCGGAGATTGTGAGATCAGAGGTGATCAGATTACTGATGGAAATGCCAGACTTGCAGACCAGTGTGTGACCTTTTTTATGGGTGGGAAAGTCTACGTGCTGTCTGGTATTGAAATAGAGTGAGGATTTAGTGAGACTAGCATTTTCCTGGCCTCAAGTGAGAAACAGGACTTGTTTCTGAAAAATAAACCTAGCTTCACCCTCAGCTTTCAAAGCAGATTATTGACCTGAAGTTTAAAAGAGAGGCAATCATCAAGCCAAATACCAAGGTATTTATAACAGACAACCACTTCAAGTACTTTTCCTTGCATAGTAACAATATCCAACGTGGTCTCCGGTGTCTTTTCGGCTTTTGAAAATAGCTTAGGGGACGGTGCCAGCAGACAATGGCCTCTTGCCTCTGTCCTGCAGACAATGGTGTCCGAATGGCAGTCCCTGGTCCTCACGTACTATGAGGTACTATGAGGTGAGGAGGTGATCCACTCCTGAGGGCTGCAGCTTGTCTCCCAGAATCAGGGGCTGAATAGTGTTAAAGGCTCTGGAGAAATCCAAGAACATGATTTTCTCATACCCCTCTATGTCAGGTTTAGGCAGGAATGCGGACCCAAATGTAGTTCAAAAACCGGGGAGACAGATAAGAATAGGAACAAAAAGCAAGTTTTATCAAAATGAAAGCTGTTACCTACAAAGCACAACAACCGCATGGGCAGGCAAGGTTAAACAAAAGAAAAGAGTTAACCTAAACAAACCAGGAAGACTTAGGAGACATGGAGGGAATCCAAAACTGGCAAACCAGACTGGGGACCAAACTGAGTGAACAACGACGAACCAACAAGGAACACAAGGGATAGCAAGACTAAATGCACGCAAGGGTAATCACAATAACCGTGCCAAATTCCACTGAAATCTGTTTTCAAATTTCCTGGCAATGCCACTCACAACAACAACAATGGTGGACTGCATCGGGTCAATGCTCATGTTGCTCTTAATTGTATAAAGCCAGGGGCCACTCATGGTATGGCAACAATAAGAATTAGCCTCTATCATAAATCTATTGACCCACAGCTTTTTCAGAAAAAAAAAGGTAAGGCATGGATATTGATGAGTTTACATACATATTTATTTTACCGCTCAATGTTTTTGAAATATCAATATAAGAGCTGACTCAAAACTTGTTAATGCCATGCAATGAAACTCAACAGCAGACTGAAAACATTAGAAAGCACACCAATTATTATTTACCAGATGTTATTTGAGAATTTGTATTCCTTCTGTATTGTGGTAGGCGCTGTTTAAAAGCATCATTAGGCGCGTTCACACCGCAGTACTTTTCCCACTTTAGCTCCGATACAGTTCCGAAATGTCGCGTTCACACCAAAAAGAGCCGGAACTAAAATGAGTTAATGAGAACTTTTTAACCCCCTTTTCAGTCCCTGCTAGAGAGCAGGTATACTTTCATGGGAGAAAAAGGTTCCTGTGTCTGATTGGCTGGGCGGATTGCAAACACACCCCGTAAAACTCAAAAAAAGTTTTGTGGAGCCGCCATTTTATTATCCTCGCATTAGCATTATTAGCATTAGCATTAGCCCAGCGCAGAAACGCAGAGAGACTAACTTATGGCAACACAAAAGAAAACATGGGAGCGGTGGAGATGAGGAGGTGTCGACGTTCTGGCGATTTACTCGTAAGGCTTCAGTAGAAGCCACTCCCCAACTCCGGGGACTTCCGGCCGGGGACTTCGGGTGGCAGTATATGCCGTGAAGTTGTTTTCAGCCTGCCAGTAAACTCAAAGCAGAAGAAGAAGAAGAAGAAGTGACGTCAGCGGCTTTATTTGCCTAATCCTCCCCCAGGGATTTATTCCGGTGTGAATGCGATCTGTACTTAGTTCTGATGAACCTTTGTGGGAAAAGTTCTGCGGTGTGAAAGCGCCTAATGGGACTGTGTGGAATTTGTATTTGCTTGTTTCATAAGATTTTAAAACTTAAACTTTAGTGTTAAAGAAAATATCCCTTTATTTCATATTTTATTGTATTAAAAATTATTGTATCATTTGTGTGAAATGATCTTCATTAGCGTATGAATGATTGAGAAGTGTCTAAGAGACACACAGAATACCTGAAAACATAATAACTTAAAAAAACATCATCGATGAAAGAAACTAATCATTTTGATTTGTGTGTTGCCAGGCTGACAACCCTCTGTTCCAGACGGCCACCACCACGGTGAGCAACCCCACCTTCACCGGAGAGTGAGACTCACAGAGGTGCAGCGCTCACACAACACACATCCATGTGTGTTTAGGGCAAGGTCATTTGTAATGCCCTTTGCAAATATTTATCAACTTGTGTTAATGTTGACACGCTGTCGTTCTTAAAGGGGCCCTATTCTGCTTTTTGCATTTTTCCCTTTCCTGTAGTGTGTTCAAATAGATTTTAAATAAATGTAATCCCTGTGTTCCCTCCAGAGGGAGTTTCTTTCCCACAGCTGTTATTATCTGAGGGGGGCAGAAAAGCAACATTCATGCATCAGTCTCATTCTATTCACCCAGACAGATTCACTGTATATCCTCAGGTCCTGAGAGAGAGTCTGACAGGACGTTGTTACTGGGAGGTGAAGTGGAGAGGGGGAGAATTTGATGTAGCAGTCGCATACAAGAATATCAGCAGAGCAGGGGGTGAAAGTTTATTTGGATTCGATGAAGTCTTGGGCGGTAGATTGCGACCAAAACAGTTATTCATTTCGTCACAACAGTATCATCACTCCCGTCTCAGGTCCTCTGTCCTCCAGAGTAGGAGTGTACCTGGATCACAGAGCAGGTATTCTGTCATTCTACAGCATCTCTGAAACCATGACTCTCCTCCACAGAGTCCAGACCACATTCACTCAGCCGCTTCATGCTGGAGTTTTGCTTTATGATTATGGAACCACAGCTGAGTTTTGTAAACTGAAATAGCCTGAAGTCATTTGAGGAACTCTTCTACTTCTTAAACTCATTGTGTCCATCATTGTTGCTGAAAGCTGAGTGTTCATGTATTCACTGCACAGAGATCAGCTGTCAATCAAACATTATGGGATGTGCTTTAACATCTTCTCATGAGTTGTTCTGTAGATGTTGGAGTTTCTTTAGGCGGCGCTCCTTCCTGTGTCTGTTTAGCCATGGAGGCTGTCACTGCTCAGGAGGATTTCTGTTAACCTCAACTGATATTTCTCTGCATGAAAACTGTAAACTTTGCTTTAAATATTTGTTGAATATCGTTATTGATGTATTTGTATGTTGTTGTTTCTCTTGTAAAGCTTGAGTCTTAAGAGAGAAAGCACCAGAGCTTCTTTCATGTTAGATATTTTTTTCTAAAAGTCTTTTATTTTTGACTGAGTTTCAATGTGTTGAATGCATAAATTAAAGTTTGAATAATGAAACAACACACATTAAAAGAAAACTCATAACAAAGAAAAGGTTGAGTTTGTAATAAATTGTGTTTCTATTTTCAACATATGAGATGAGTGCCTCATTGACATATCCGGAAAAAATGTAATGCTTGGCTTTTTCTTGTTAATAAAAGAGTTAAGAGGACAAAAGTGAAAATCTAAGTCTTTCTATTTTTTTATTATAAAAATAACTAACTTATTTTTCGGAAATAAAATATTTCATTTTCATATATTTTATTTATTTTTAGGATTAAGAAAACATTCCCTTTTTGATAATGCAGCTCTTTTAGTAAACCCTGCACATGTTTCGTCAGGTTGGTGTAGATGTTTCTTACACACTTGTGAAGCTGACCGTTGAGCGGCCCAGACCAAGCAAGGAGGCAGAGGCAGAATGTCCAAAAATATAACCCGGTGTGGGCATTTATTAAAACTTGAGCACAGGACACAGCCTCAATCTTGCTGTTCCTGTGCACACAGCCACCAGCCTCAATCCTGCTGCTGCTGTTCATGTGAGCCCAGCCTGCAGCCACCAGGATCTCACACACACACTCCCTGCCCGCCTCAAACAGACAGGGAAACAGAGCCTAAATACACACACTCTAATCAGCACAACAAGACACAGGTGAGGGGGGAGGAGACAACACAGGGCACCAGGTGCACACAATCAACGGCAACACACATGGGTAAAGGGGAACACATTTCAAAATAAAATACAATAAACACTACATCAATAAATAGTATAAATTGTATAAAAATGCCCGAAGCCGTCAGTTCACAGTGACGAAGTTACCTTCGTCACAACACTACAGGAAAGGGAACCCCAAAAAGCTTAGGGCTTCTTTAAGTCTATTTAAGTCTTGCTGCCATACTATAAATCCCACCATACATAAAGGGCTTTAAAGACTCACACTCGCCCTTTAAATGTGACTGATTTGGATTCATTCTTGATTCTCCAGCTCTTACTCACAGCTCAGTTCGATCCAGATGAAGTCTTTTGGCGGATTTCCACTGCAGGGCCTCGCACGGCTTAGTACGGTATAGTTAGGCCTTGGTAGGCCAGGCTCACTTTATGCTGCGTTTCCATTACAGTTTAGCAGAGGAGTGGACTCGAGTCACATGACTTGGACTCGAGTCAGACTCGAGTCACCAATTTGATGACTTGAGACCCTTGAGACTCGACTTGACAAAATCACAAAACACTTGCGACTCGACTTTTACTTGAACACCAATGACTCGGGACTTGACTTGGACTTGAGCCTTCTGACTTGAGGTGACTTGATACTTTAATTCAGAGGTCTCCAACACGCCGATCGCGAGATGCCGCTAGAAGAGAAGACTCCCGTCGGGGAAAGCAGAATCTTCAGCCACTCCTACTCTTGCTGAGAATCCTTGCAGGCAGGGGCGGGACTTTATTTAGCTGGGCCACCATGCGGCCAATCATATGCGAGGACACACTAAGATCATACCATTATGTGAAAGAAGGGTGGGGGGCACAGCAGGTGTAGTGGTACAGGCCAGCTGCACAGAGCGACGGGGAGACGGATTTAAATGCAAGTGCGTCGGAAAAAGTCAAGAAATTAGCAAAAACCGAAAAAAGAAGCAGCATCTGGCTGCTTTTCAATGATATTGGAGAAAGCAAAGCTGAGTGCAGGATTTGTAAAATGAAAATAACCTTTTTTGGTTACCTTTATTTTGGTAACCACTCAGGATTTACTGTCAGAGGTGGGAGAAGTTCAGATCTTGTACTTGAGTACAAAAGTACCAGTGTAGGAATACTCGGTTACAATAAAAAGTCCTGCATTCAAAATGTTACAAGTAAAAGTACAAAAGTATTAGCATCAAAATATAGTTAAAGTACCACATGCAGAGGGATCTAGATGCAGGTGTTCTTTTCCCCATAGAGACCGCCTCGCTGCACATTATCCCTTGCATAAAGATAGATTGTGGGTCCCTTACAACATGTTGTACACAGTGGAAATAAACATTCTGGTTACCTCAACATCAGGGATCTTATACATTAAACTCCTTCTGAATCAAACCGTCACGGTAGCCTTACCTTACTGATCCCTCAAAATTAGAAAAACACACGTTACTTTACCAGCAGAGAGATGATTATTAAATTATGAATGTGACTAATAAAGAGCAGTTTGATTATTAAGTATTATTCTGTTGATCGATGTCATTACATTTGTTGAAAAACACATAATGACTTGTTTATGACTCGTTTTGTCAAAGTTTAGGACTTGACTTGACTTGAACTTGCCCATCCTGACTTGAGACTTGACTCGGACTTGCAAAATAATGACTTGAGACTTGACTCGGACTTGAGCGCAAAGACGTGAGACTTGACTCGGACTTGCAAAACAATGACTTGTTCCCACCTCTGCAGTTTAGTAGCTGGGCAGTAACTATAGTAACGCAGTGTAGGCGGAGCCGTGACGTCATCTTCAATGCGAAACACAAAACCAACATCAGCCGTTAGCTGTTAGCACTCGGAGCTCACAGCTCCTCATATATGTCTGTGTCATGGCGAATACAGTCGCTGGTTTATTAATGTCTGTATAGGCCGTTGTTGTGAGTGTGGACGGTCGGAGCATATACGACGTTAGCTTAGCCAATATCCATTCAGAAAACACGCATTATAAAAGGTTTTTCGCCTGCCGTCTTGTCTGCAGACTTGTCAAAGCATTAATTCATGGTTTTTACTAACCGGTATCAGTATGTTGTTACTTCGGCATCATTTTGAAACGTGTATTACAATTAAATCACGGTAAAATATGTTCATTGCGCCATTTGATGCCCAGGTTCTCCAGGAACACACCGGAGGAGGAGGTGGTTTTAAACAGGAAGGAGATATCCATGCTCAGCTCTCCGTGGAAGGTCGGGAAGTGGAGGTACGACGGCACAATCCCAAACCATGCCCTACACCCTACCCCTACACACTACTCCTCCGTTTGCGTGTTCGCGCGGAGGGTCCGCCACATTAAGTGCTGATCCAAACCAACGAGTGTGGAGCGGTGTGGAGGGGGAGTGGAGGGGGAGTGGGTTATCAAGCCCTCAAACAGCGAGTCTGTCAAGGAGTGAACTCTGAGGCATGAACTCAAATGGACGACTCAAACTCAGACTCAGATAGTGTTCAAAATAAAGACTTTACTGGAATTGACACAGTAACAAAACAGGGAAAACAAAAACACTCTTTCGAGGAAAAACAAGAACTAATGCTTAAAGGTAAGTGAGATGTCCGTGGAGTAGGCTGGTACATTAGTCCTGAATGAGGAAACGAACTGGCAATGGACAGGAGGGAGCTAGCACAATATATACACAGGGTAAGGGGAACAGGTGGAAACAATCAGGGCGGGGAAAACAATCACGGACGCAGGAGACAGATAGGGGCGGGGAGCGTGGAGGCCTGAAATGAGACGGAGAATTACTTAATTAAATAAACATAAAGCACAGGACAAAGGGACATGACAAAACTAACATAAAGAATAAACTTTCACAATAAGTTTCTTAGACATGACAGAAGAGGTTTCTCAATACTCAAATTTACCCTCCTCGACTCCTCGACTCCTCGACTCCTCGGTCCTCCGGTAGTGACCCGGAAATTAATTTCAGCGTGCCATTTTGAAGGACATCTAATTTCTCTCAATGCACTTCGAGGACCGAGGATCGAGCGTCGAGGAGGCTCTCTGGAGGAGCTATAACCGAGGAGACACTGATGGTTCCTCCACGGCTCCTCCGCGGATGCATTTCCGGGAACTGTGGAGGCGTGACGCACGGCCGGACTTATCTCAGCCAATCACAGCTCTGCATGCATCCCCTGGATATTATTTTAGAAACTGCTTTCATCGCGATGTTTACAGTGAAAACAGCTGTGAGGTCCGTGCAGAAAGCAGAGCAGTGTGTATAATATATATCACTCAGTATAACAGGCCTACTCTCTTTATTTGCTTTAGTTTAGTAGATCTACAAAGAGTTGATATTTTTCTAAGACCATTTAGTGCTTCACATAATAAAATACACAACGGCTGTAGCCTGATTATGCTTTAGGAGCTGTAGGTGCGTGTTGTACATCGTGTAGGTGTGTGTGTGTGGTACAGTGTGTAGGTGCGTGTTGTACAGTGTGTAGGTGTGTGTGTTGTATAGTGCGTAGATGCGGCGGACAGACGGGTCTCAGTTGGTTTGGTGTCCTCTGCTTATTTTTAATACTTGTAAATACAACTTTTGGCCCGTAATTTCAATTCCCCATTTCAGCGACCAGAGAGAGGGGGGGGGGGATATATCCAGTCTCTGATTGTGTTACGTTATTATGAGAGTGCTCTCATACTTGTGTGAGTCTGAAATTGTATATATGTATATAAATACGTGTGTGTGTGTGTGTGTGTGTGTGTGTGTGTGTGTGTGTGTGTGTGTGTGTGTGTGTGTGTGTGTGTGTGTGTGTCCGCATCTGTAGCCTGTTATTGTCTCATTATACCGCACTGTCAATGAATCAAAGTAAAATATAGAAGTAATCATGAACACATCTGTCCGTCAGACAGAGGGCGGCTGTGCCTCCTGTCATCATTAATGGATGTCTCTTTAAGATGACCGCTCAGAGGAGAGGAGTTCTCATTTCTCTAACCGCCTGCTGCTTCCCCTCCTCTCTCCTCGGCTCCCCTCCTCGACTCCTCCGTTCGCATCTCCTGTGGGCGGGACTAAGTATCGAGGATAGGAGTCGAGGAGGGGAGTCGAGGAGGGGACATTTGAGTATTGAGAAACCTCTAGAGTCTGCAGCGGTGCTGACTGGAGACCGGTCTCTACCTGACCGGAGTCAACGCTGTGTGTGTCCCTCAGGAAACAAGCTGTTTACAAGTAGTTCCAGCAAAGATCCACTGATAAATTGCGATGTTAACAACCTCATGATAACCTCATTTGTTTTTAAAGTTTGGATCATACCTGTGTTTAGTCTAGAAAAAGGTAACTGTGTGCATTTTATTATAAAGTTGTGTATATTTACAGACTGTTGCAAAAACTAAGAAGCTTATAAAAATCTGGTTTAAATCTAAAAGAGCACAATTTAAGATGTTTGGAGTTTTATTTTAGTTATTAATTTAAATGTTTTGTCTAAGAGATGCTGATTTGAAACCGCTGTTACATACAGTTACGGCATTTCCTGTT